ATTGGCCGGGCATGATGGCTTACGCCTGTATTCCCAGCACTTTGGGAGGCCAAGGTGTGTGGATCACGAGGTCGGGAGATGGAGATCATCCTGGCCAACATGGTGAAACCTCATCTCTCCTAAAAATACAAAAATTAGCCGGGTGTGGTGGTGTGCGTCTGTAGTCCCAGCTACTCGGGAGGCTGAGGCAGGAGAATTGTTGTTTGAACCCAGGAGGCAGAGGTTACAATGAGCCAAGATTGCGCCACTGCACTTCAGCCTGGTGACAAAGCAAGACTCCGCCTCAAAAAAAAAAAAAAAAAATTTCTTTTAAGTTCCGGGGTACATGTCCAGGATGTGCAGGTTGTTACATAGGGAAATGTGTGCCATGGTGGTTTGCTGCACCTGTCAACCCATCATCTAGGTATTAAGCCCAGCATGCATTCGCTAATTTTCCTGATGCTCTCCCTCCCCCAACCCTGCAAGAGGCCCCAGTGTGTGTTGTTCCTCTCCCTATATCCATGTGTTCTCATTGTTCAGCTTCCACTTGTAAGTGAGAACACGCAGTGTTTGGTTTTCTGTTCCTGCATTAGTTAGCTGAGGATTATAGCTTCCAGCTCCATCCATGTCCCTTCAAATGATCTCTTTCCTTTTTGTGGCTGCATAGTATTTCATAGTGTATATGTACCACATTTTCTTTATCCAGTCTATCATTGATGGACATTTGGCTTGATTCCATGTCTTTGCTATTGTGAATAGTGCTGCAGTGAACATACGCACACATGTATCTTTGTAACAGAATGATTTCTATCCCTTTGGATGTATACCCAGTAATGGGGTTGCTGGGTCAAATGATATTTCTGGTTCTAGGTCTTTGAGGATTCATCACACTGTCTTGCACAATGGTTGAACTAATTTCCATTCCCACCAATGGTGTAAAAGCATTCCTGCCTCTCCACAGCCTTACCAGCGTCTATGGTTTCTTGACTTTCTAATAATCGCCATTCTGGCGATTCTAACTCACCACTATCTACCTGGCATGAGTTGGTATCTCATTGTGGTTTCGATTTGCATTTCCCTAGTGACCAGTGATGTTGAACTTTTTTTCCTATGTTTGTTGGCTGCATAAATGTCTTTTTTGAGAAGTGTCTGTTCATATCCTTTCCCTACTTTTAAATGAAGTTGCTTGTTTGTTTGTTTTTCCTGTAAATGTGTTTAAGTTCCTTGTAGACTCTGGATATTAAACCTTTGTCAGATGGGTAAGTTGCAAAAATGTTTTTCCATTCTGTTTGGTTCTTCACTCTGATGATAGTTTCTTTTGCTGTGCAGAAGCTCTTTAGTTTACTTCATTCCATTTGTTAATGTTTGCTTTTGTTGCAATTGCTTTTGACATTCTCGTCATGAAATCTTTGCCTATGCCTGTGTCCTGAATGGTATTGCCTAGATTTTCTTCTAGGGTTTTTGTAGTTTTGGGTTTTACATTTAATTATTTAATCCATCTTGCATTAATTTTTGTGTAACATATAAGGAAGGGGTCCAATTTCGATTTTCTGCATATGACTAGCCAGTTCTTCCAGCACCATTTATTAAATAGGGAATCCTTTCTCCATTGCTTCTTTTTGTCAGACAAACAACCTCATTTAATCCTCACGCGACCTTATGAGGTCAGTATTACTCCATTTTACAGATGATCCAGCTGAGACTCAGAGAAGCTAAAGAAATTGCTCAAAGTCACATAGAAAATGAGCAGTGGTGCCTGGATTTGAACCTAGGTTATTCTAGCTCTTTGCACAGTGAAAAAGAATGGCTCATAGGTTGAGTGACTTTGATGTAGCAGATGCCATGCTAAACTCCATTTTATGAATGCAGAAACTGAGTCTAAGATAAAGTAACTGGCCAAGGCCTAAGGTGAGTTAGAATTCAGATCCCCTCCATCTGATATGACAGATTCTGCTCTTAATGGTTCCACCCTGCTGCAAAGCTCAGTGACTACAGCAGGGTGTTGGGGCAGAGCTTGGTTTGGACACAGAAACAGAAGGCAAACGTTTGAGCCCAGGAGTTCAAGACCAGCCTGGGCAACATGGTGAAACCCCATCTCTACAAAAAATACAAAAAAATAGCTGGGCTTGGTGGCACATGCTGGTCTCAGCTACTCGGGAGGCTGAAGTGGGAGGATCACTTGAGTTCAGGGAGGTCAAAGCGCAGCGAGTTGTGATCCTGCCACTGCAATCCAGCCTGGGCAACAGATTGAGATCCTGTCTCAAAAAAAAAAGGACAAACGTGTTTCTTCACATTACCGTTTCCTTCCCCCCGAGATATATGAGTACTTTTCACTATGGTAAGGCCAGGTAAAGGGTGTGGGCCCCACCACCAGCCTGCTTGGATTTGACTCCTCAATTTGAAGAACTAACTCTCTGATGTGGCTTGTTACTTTGCCTCTCTGGGCCTCAGTTTCCACGTATGTGAAATGAGGATATTAATGGTGAGTGTCTTATCAGGTTGCAAAGATTTGATGAGTCAAGCTGGGCAAAACAATTAGAACAGTGCTTGGCACATCCTACATGATGGTTCTTCTGATGTATTATCACTGCCAGAAAGACCTAAGAATATCAATCACTGCAAGGTAAAACTGTGTCTTCATGAGTTATGTCTTTAATTCAAGGAGGAAACAAAACAAGGAGAAAAAGAAAAACAACCAAAATTTTTTTATAAAAACCACTAAGAGCACAACCTTTCGTATGAGACTCAGGGGATCTGAATTCTAACTTGCCACTAACTACGTGTGGGCCTTGAGCCAGCTACTTTATCCGAGACTCAGTTTCTGCATCCCTAAGTGGAGTTTAGCATGGCTTCTGCTACAGCAGAGGCACTCAGCCTTTTAGCCATTCTTATTTACGGCGCAATACGCTAGAAAGACCTAGGTTCAAACCGAGACTCCTGCTCATTCGCTAACAGATGAGCAACAAGCCTCCAGCTGAGCACCCGTTATCAGGGCCGCTCGGGACAGTGTCCCTGGAGTTTCAGCGGAAGCACCCACTCATGGGGTGCCCTCCATACACACTGGCCATAAGCTTGGCCAAGTATGGACCAGCTAGAGTGGCCTCTGCCCAGACTAGATTTCAGGACCTGCTCACTAGCGGGCGACATCCTGTGGGGGCGCCAGTGAGCTGTGTCTTTGGTGTCAAGCCAACCTGGCTTCCAAGGCCAGCTCTATAGTGTCACCTTGAGTTCATGGGTTTCACCCTCCGAGCCTGTTTCTTGGCCTGTAAACCGGGCGCAGTGATACCTGGATCGCAGCTTTGTTATGAGAATTAAGTGAAAAAAAACAAACATGTCTTAAGCACACAGTCGATAGAAAGTAGTGGCTGTCATTAAGTGTTACTATTAACTTGGTGGCCTCCTCAGGTTAGCTATCCAGCAGGAATGGCTACCGGCTAGATTTTGAGCCTGGCACAGTCCCCTAGTCTCAGCCTCTGAGTCCCCCTGGAAGGGACTCTTGGCTTCACGGAGCAGTCGAGGAGAAAGCTGAGAGACATTCTGAGGAACAGGGCTGCAGACTTGTGTGACTCTCAGTACTTTCTTGCCTTGCTGTTTGTTTTTGAGACAGTCTCGCTCTGTCCCCTAGGCTGGAGTGCAAGGGTGTGATCTTGGCTCACTGCAAACTCTGCCTCTGAGTTCAAGCAATTATCATGCCTCAGCCTCCTGAGTAACTGGGATTGAAGGTGTGCACCACTACACCCGTTAATTTTTGTATTTTTAATAGAGATGGGGTTTTGCCACGTTGACCAGGCTGGTCTCGAACTCCTGACCTCAAGTGATCCTCCCGCCTCAGCCTCCCAAAGTGCTCAATACTTTTCTTAATTAACTGACAAAGAAAATCAGGCCTGTCTCCTTCTTCTCTGAGGCTTCTTTTCCAAACTAGTGCAGATCAAATTATTTTACCATCTGCCTGTGGCATGCTTTGGGCATGGGGAGCCCTCTCTAGTATCCCATCATGACACCGTTAGAGCGACTTCATTATGTATAAAGAGAGACCGTGGAGCGACAGGTCCGGATCCTTAATAAACAGTGAAAGTTTATACATCAAAATGAATTTTATTTTCTTCAAAGGAGTCAGATACCTGGGAGGCTGTGTGCAAATTCTAAACGTTTTGTGAACTTTCCCTTTGGGTTCTTGTTTAAAGCCTCTAGCACATTCTTTCTCGCATCCTCAGAGTTAACATGCCCTCTTCCTTTCAGGGTAAATTTAATTTTTGGAAATAGCCAAAAGATATTTGAAGCAGAACCTGCAAAATAAAAGAGGTTAGTCATGCAGGATAGTAATACGTTAGAATCAGAAATAAGGTTATATTTAGAAAATATTGATTTGCCTTTTTGATGCTGCATGTGTATAATCTGGCTCTGAAATCAGGGGCGCAAAGTGGACTTCCAAACAAGCTTGAGCAATAGAAGTAGATGTGGAAGTAATTCTGGCTTCCCGAGGCAAATTTTTTGATAGGAACAAACAACTGTTTAGATATAAAAGATGCGATACATTCCTTTAAAAAGATTCTGACCTTATGTCATTGTAGGCACACCTCATATTTCAATTATTCATACAGTTTTTGCTTGAGCAATTGCTGACTTAAGAGTAATGTCATGTCTTTTGCATGCTCATATCATGTGGATTTTTCCTCCCTCCCTCCCTTCCTCTCTCCCTCCTTCTCTTCCTTCCTTCTTTCCTCCTTCCTTCTCTTCCTTATTCCCTCCCTCCCTTCCTTCCTCCCTCCCACCTTCTCTTCCTTCCTTCTTTCCTTCCTCCTTCTCTTCCTTCTTTCTTCCCTCCCTTCCTCCCTCTCTCCCTTCCTCCCTCCCTTCCTTCCTCCCTCCCACCCTCTCTCCCTCTCTCCCTCCCTCTCTCCCTCTCTCCCTCTCTTCCTCCCTCTCTCCCTCTCTCCCTCTCTCCCTCCCTCTCTCCCTCTCTCCCTCTCTCCCTTCCTTCCTTCTTTCCTCCTTTCCTTCATTCCTTTCATCCTTATCAGGCATATGTTGAAACAATTAGACTAAAAGATGATGAAATACTCAAGGTACAAACCAAAGAAGATGGAGATGTCTTTATGTGGTTGAAACATGAAGCTTCCCGGGGCAATGCAGCGGCTCAGGTAAACATGCAGGCTACCGACTTGGAGATTCTGTCAGCCATGATAGACTGGGTTATGCCGTGGTAACAAAACATCTCAACCCTCAGTGGCTTAAAACAGTGCCAGTTTATTTCTCACTCACACTGCATGTCCAGTGGGGGTTGTCAGGGGCAGGCCATAGTTGTCACAATCCCTTAAGAGCCCAAGCTGACAGAGGCTTCTAGAACCCACTGCACTCAGGCCTAGGCTATAGCACCTTACCAGCTGGCTAACACTTGTGCCCAGAAGTGGCATATTTCATTGGCCAAAGCAAATCACGTGGCCTCCCTTGACTTCAAGTGGGCCAGAGTATGGTTCTGCCACTGGCCCAGAAGGAGAGAGAGCCACAATACTGACGTGCAGCTCTAAAGACTACCATCAAAAAAGGAAAAAGAAAGGAGTCACAGGCATTGACAAAGCAGACAGTTCAGGGGCTTCTTTTTTTTTTTTTGGAGACAGAGTCTTGCTCTGTCACCAGGTCGCAGTGCAGTGGCACGATCTCGGCTCACTGAAACCTCTGCCTCCCTGGTTCAAGCAATTCTCCTGCCTCAGCCTCCCGAGTAGCTGTGACTATAGGCGCCCACCACCATGCTCGGCTAATTTTTGTACTTTTAGTAGAGACGGTGTTTCACCATGTTGGCCAGGATAGTTTCGATCTCTTGACCTCGTGATCCATCCACCTCGGCCTCCCAAAATGCTGGGATTACAGGCATGAATGCTGGGATTACAGGCATGAGCCACCGTGCCTGGCTTTTTTTTTTTTTTTTTTTTTTTTTTTAGAGTAAAAATCTCACTCTGTTGGCCAGCCTGGAGTGTGGTGGTGTGATCATAGCTCACTACAGCCTCAAAGTTCTGGGCTCAAGTGATCCTCTTGCCTCAGCCTCCCTAGTAACTGGGACCTAGGCATGTGCCACCATGCCATGGCCTGCTAATTTTTAAATTTTCTGTGGAGGTGAGGTCTTCTTGCTATGTTGCCCAGACTGGTCTTGAACTCCTGGCCTGTAGTAATCCTCCTGCTTAGGCCTCTCAAAGTGCCGGAATTAAGGCATGAGCCACCACACCTGGCCCAAGAGGCTCTTTTGTAACAGGTCTCCCACCTCTCTACGGGGCTCTTCCACCTCTCTACAGGGGTCTTCCCCACATTTCAGAAGACACTTTGCTGGAAATTATAAGTATTTGGTGGGGAAGGGAAGAGAACGAGAAGAGAGAAGCAGCAGAAAGAAGGAAAGATAATAAGGGACGCATGTGGAACCAGAATGTTAACACACGTCGCTCTGGCCCTGTCCCTGGGCATCTGTCCCTAGCCTACAGTCTTTCTAGTACTTGGAATTCCAATGTATAGCTCTGGGAATGACACTGCCAGAGCCATTTCCCGGGTGCTCCAGAGCTTGCATAAACTTTTCTAACCATGAGCACTTCCTCCTTCCTTTGTTCACTAAGTCTTTGTTGAGCAGCTTCTATGACCTCCTGAGCTCTGCAGCGTCAGGGGCCAAAAGACAATGGCAAAGATAAGTAATATCTCGAGGTTCCTTCCCTCCGAGAGCTTCCAGCCTCCAGTCTGATGGTGGAGCCAGCCAAATAGACGATGAGATGAGATGAGATATCGATTCTATAGAAGGATGCAGATACATCCTTCATAATCTGTAATGATAGAGATGTACAGAGACCCCCATGCCAATCATTGGGGCAAAAGAAAGAACAATACCTCTCAAAGGAGTGGCATTTGAGGAGTTCTGATTATTAACAAAGTTCCATTTAGCTCTGGTCCTGGGTACAGTTGGTACACACACACACACACACACACACACACACACGAACCATTTCTGGCTTGTGTTAAGGGCTTGTATTTACATAAGTCCATGTTCAGGGCTCTGTCCTCCAGTTAGAAGATAAACTGTGTCTAGCTAATCCTTGGTTCTCAGTATAAAGCATTGTCAACTAGGCTTGCCCTCCCACCTTTCAAAGTCTTGTGTTAAGCATTGCACAGGAAAAGTCATTGTTCTAAATTGCTATTGTCTTCAAGCAACGATTGGCCCAGATGCTGTTCTGGGGGCAGCAAGGTGTGGCCAAGAATCCCGAAGCAGCCATCGAGTGGTACGCCAAGGGCGCCCTGGAGACAGAGGATCCTGCGTTAATCTATGACTATGCCATTGTGCTGTTCAAGGTAAGAATCACTTCATTCATGCTGAAATTGCGCAATTCTCATCAGCCTCCGTAGCAGTTTCCTGTGGGCATGCAGGCAAACAGGGAGTCGATAATTGAAGAAACTTAGGATATGCTTCTGTCACTCTTGATGGAAAGGGATATTGGCTAAAAAGGCAGAGTCAGAAGCAGTTCCCTGTTCTCATTTTTAATCATTAGTCTTATGTTTGGCACCTGGATTCTCTGTGCTTCCACAAGAGCCACAGCATTCTGGAGGAAACACCCATATTTTATGGATTGGCACCCAGCCGCCAGCCCCCACAGACACTGCAAGTTTGCCACCAGGCAGAGTTCTCTTTTAATTACAGCTTAAACACAGTGTGTAATTGGGCTGGATCCCAACAGTCCTGCTGATGAAAATAAGGATATTGGTTTTAAGCCAACAGGAGAGGGGTGGGAAGAGCCTAGGAGACAGTCATTGAAGTCCCAACTCTGCAGCCATCAGGTATGTCCTTGGAGTCACCCGATCTCATGGGACGGTGGCAATGACCACAGATTGAACGAGATAATAGGACCAATGGACTTGGGGGACCGTAAAATGCGCTGTGTTCCTTATACAGAACAGCATGGCCTGGTGCGGTGGCTCACACCTGTAATCCCAGTACTTTGGGAGGCCAAGGCAGGCGGATTACCTGAGGTCAGGAGTTAAAGACAAGCCGGACCAATACGGTGAAACCCCATCTCTATTAAAGTTACAAAAATTAGTCAGGCATGGTGGCTGTGCCTGTAATCCCAGCTACTCAGGAGGCTGAGGCAGGAGAATCGCTTGAACCTGGGAGGCCGAGGTTGCAGTGACCCAAGATTGTGCCACTGCACTCCAGCCTGGGTGAGACTCCATCTCAAAAAAAAAAAAAAATTAGTAATAGTTTACACTGATTAACTGAGCGCTTGTTACCTGCTTTGCACGTACGAAAGCATTGAATCCTCACAACCAACTTACGAGATTGGTACCTTGGTATATTATTATCGCTGTTCGTTCATATGGAAACAAAGGCACAGAAAGGTTTTGTAACTTGCCCGAGGTCACCCAGCTGGTACATTTCTGACCTGGGACTGGGATCCAGACAGTTTGGCTTCACAGTCATCATCCCCAAACAAAGAGACATCAGTTCATCCATCTTAGAAAAGTAAAAAGCTTTGGCTTTGATAAGGAAATTATTGGACTTACATCCACACCCAAAGAAAGCAGTTGCCCCCAAAAAGCAAGCATCCTCAAACAAGCCCAGACCCATCTCCAGAACACAGATGTGGCCACTCCGTAATTAACAACCATGACTGTGGCCACATTGCTAACCCTCCCTACCTATCAAAACCTGTAAACTTATTGGCTGTTGTGGTTTCCAAATGGAGGTCCCATACCTTCTCTTTCCAGTTGTCAAATCAACATAGAAATGGTTTGAATATGAGCCATATGCCAATGCATTCATGTATTCATTCAATAAACATCGTTCCACTCAGGGCTGACCCAATGCCAGGCTCTGGGCTAGATGGAGGGGCATATGGATGCAGGAGTCACATCCCTGACCTCAGGGAGCTCACACACAGGGGAGAAGGCAGAGGACTGGCTTCAGTAAGCACAGAGGAGCAGCACCTGTCCATCAGAGTGGAGGCAGGTTGCTATCCAAAGATAAAGGCACAAAACAGACAGTAGCTCTGTCCACCAAGATCACACTATCTACAGTGAGAGGCAAATCCAGAAATAAATGACTCTGGGAGTGACATAATGCCTTCTCTGGGTTTGCTTTCTCACACTTTAAAGCTTTTTTGCAGAGAGGGGTGTTCTGCATTCTTGCTAAGTTTTCTCTGGGTGGGAGGAAGGAAGCCCTTTATTAGCAGCTCAGGGAATATTTCCACCTCTGGCTAGAAGGTCTTTTCAAGTGTATTCTGCATGAAAGAACCCCCTGCTGAAAATGGGCTTTCCATATACAAAGAACAGTAAATTCATTTCACTGTGTGCAGACATCCAGCTTGTATGCAAAGATGATACCAGGATGGTGGCTGTGATTCCTTCCAGGTAGTCAAGTCCATTGTGCATCCACGTGAAGATAAAGCTTTGACTCTGACAGCAGCTACTGTCCTGCATCTATTCACTCAGTGGATAGTTACTGCGTACTTACAATGTACCAGGACTTTACATTTCTCTCATTGAACAATTTCCAGTGCTACTCAGATTCCTGTAGAGTACATCGTCTTTGTGCAAGAAAAGTCATCCTGCTTTTAGCCGGGTGTGTTGGCTCACACCTGTAATCCCAGCACTTTGAGAGGCAGAGGCGGGTGGATCACCTTAGGTCAGGAGTTTGAGACCAGCCTGGCCAACATAGTGAAACCCCACCTCTACTAAAAATAAAAAAAAATAAAAAAAAAAAAAGCTGGGTGTGGTAGTGGGCGCCTGTAATCCAGGATACTCGGGAGGCTGAGACAGGAGAATCGCTTGAGCCCGTGAGGCGGAGGTTGCCGTGAACAGAGATCACACCACTGCACTCCAGCCTGGGTGACAAAGTGAGACTCCGTCTCAAAAAAAAAAAAAAAAGTCATCCCACTTTTGATTCAATAGTGTAAACATCCCTACTCTAGAAATCAGACTATGTGGGTTGTCATCGCAGCTCTAACTGTGAGGCTTTGGCTAAGTCAACCGCTCTGGGCCCCCGTTTTATTTCTTCAAAACTAAAAAAGAGTCGAAGAAGGTAAACTTTTATTATGCTTTAATCAGGCACTAACCTTCTCTGACTCTGGTCCTTCTGATGCTTTTCCAGAAGTCCAAAAAGCTTGTATCCTTCCGCATCCCATTACTCCAAGTGTCCTTTGATGTCCTTTTCCCTCTCCCCTTCCTCCCACATTAAATGAAGCAGTGACGCCACTCTGAAAAACATTTTCATCTTCCACTTTGCTTCAGTTCGTCGGTTTCACTAAATAAGCAAGTTAAAGTCGAGTAGAAACTTGGCATATGTAATTTAACCTTTAGTTGGATTCACAGTTTTGTTTGGGGTCCTGAAAGAGAGAGAGTCAAGCATATCCTGCATGGTTCCTGGATCCTACAGGGAGGTTATGAGCTGAAACAGGCAGGAGAAGATAGAGCGTGGCGGTTTCGAGTTTGGCTTCTGGAATCCACCTGGCTGGATTCAAATTCTGCCTCCATTTCCCATTGTGTGACGAGGGGCATATTTCTCAGATCAGAATAACAGCAGCACCTCAGGCAGAGTTGATGAAGCACTGAGACAGTGCTTGGCCAACGTTAATTAACGCAGGAATGTTAACTAGCGCTGTTTCCACTCACTACAGTGCTGAGCATTTAGATAGAGTTTATAGGTGTGTTTGCTGCAAAACCCTCTCACGTTCTGATCACATACGATCCTGTCAACTGTTGTCTGAGTTTAGGAGGACTCCACGTGGCACGTGGGGATTGAGGGTATCCGTAATTCTAAGTGAGTTTGGAAGCAGCAGTGGTTTACAGCCACCTCCGCCCCCTTGCCTGGCATCTTTACTTTCAGATCTATGGCAAGAGAGACTCGGGGACCTCTTTCCACTCTACCCTTGGGCCCACCGTCTCCCCAGTGGTCCTCCATACAGCTCAGTGTGTTCTACAGAGTTTCTCGCTTGTGACAAGAACTCCAAAGCCCACGTCTCTCTATAGTGGACAAACCACCTCATCTGGAAAATCTTGATTTTGCTAGAAGAACCTTGTTAGTTTCTGTTAGTTGCATCTGAAGCCTCTGATTCTGCTGTGTCCTATCTCCTATGCAGCTGGTTCTTGAGCTGATTCTGAAGCCACAGTGTTCTACCCTGGAGACCCCAGCCAGGATGATGAAGGCTGCAAGAGACAGACTTATAATTCTTGACTGTCCAACATAGATAAGGTGCTTTATCTGGCTGGCAAATTAGGTGATCCCCAGAGGAAAGCATCCAGGATAACCAAACTCATTTAACCTGATTCATGGCTTCCCCCAAGTACCTGTGGATTGACAGGGTTGCAACTGACACAGTGATTACTAAGCTGCGAAGTTGAGGTTTGTTGTCTCTGCCCCACAAATATGAACAAAATGATGATGATGAAACAGCTCTGCCTATAGAAATCCATAAGATTGGGTTTAAACAAAGAAAGTGAGAGTTTTATTTTTAACTATTTTATCTCCAACACGAATGTGTCTATGTGTATGCAGTCTGATTTTATTTTCTTTATAATCATAGCTGTTTATCAATGTTTAGGGTCAAGGAGTAAAAAAGAACAGACGGCTTGCCTTAGAGCTGATGAAGAAAGCAGCTTCCAAGGTAACACATGCATGCTGTCAGAGGGAAACAGTGCCACCACACACACCCACACACTCTCACACATCTAAAAGAGGAAATGGCCAGCCTCCTCCTGCAAAGCCCTAAGGTGGAAATGGGGTGGGGAGCGGTGGGGAGCAGTGGGTCGCTGGCCTGGTACCCGCCCTGCGATGATTAGTCACTTTTGAGTTACAGTACACACAGAAACTTGCCACAATGGGGGCAGCAAAATTCAAAAGCTGAATTCACCTTCCAGTCAATAGCATTCGGGCTGATTTTGTTTGAAGGCTAAAATTATAATCAGGAGCTGCCCTGATAACAAGCAGCGGGATCCCTGGAAATTGAATGGATATAAATGCCATTGAATTCAGGAAACCAGAAGCCTAACTCCTTTGAAGGTTAACTCTGTGGTGTCTGTTTCCCATTTGTTTCCTGTGCATTGATAACGGGGCTGTTTATCAAGCTTATTGCCTGGTTTGGGAATTATTTTGCTTTTGTCATTATTAGCACTTAAGTGGTATCTTCAAGTCAGCTAGTTTCTATACAGATCTACAGAATGGAGGTTATAATGTTGCTTTTGAGGGGCCCCACCCACACATGCACACACATCATGCACACATATACACACACACGCCCAATGCATGCACAGCCACATGTGTACACTCGTATGTGCACGCATACAGACAGGCCAATAAATAGATCTGCAGAAACTACTATAAATCTACACCTTGATAAGGCACCTTATATCCCTTTTGGCACCTTGATGTGCCTCCCAAGGCTGCCAATATTTGCCTTAATGATGAAGACTCCTAAAATGACCATGCTGATTTTTCTTCCTCATTCTTGGCTCTTGAGGAGTTCAAAGTTGCATACAGGTGGGACACAGTGGCTCACATCTGTAATCCCAGCACTTTGCGAGGCCGAGGCACACAGATCACGAGTTCAGGAGTTAGAGACCAGCCTGGCCAACACGGTGAAGCCCTCTCTCTACTAAAAATACAAAAAAAGTAGCCAGGCATCGTGGCACTCACCTGTAATCCCAGCTACTCAGGAAGCTGAGGCAGGAGAATCTCTTGAACCCGGCAGACGGAGGTTGCAGTGAGCTGAGAGCTGAGATCGCGCTCCTGCACTCCAGCCTGGGTAACAGAGAAAGTTCGTCTCAAAAAAATAAAATATATTTAAAAAAAAAAGTTGCATACAGCAGGAAGTTGGAGCATGGAAAGAGAGAGCTAAAAGATTGTTCCTGCATCTGTGTATTGTCAAGAGAACAGATGACCCAGGAAGAGGGAACCCCCTGATACGCACCACAACCCCTGACCCCAATACAAACTCTAGGGCAGAAGTAGAAAAGTAACTTCATGGTAGTCATGGAAGTCATTGGTTCCAGAGCACCCTAAAATGGGGCTTGGGGCCGTGAGGGGGTTTCCTGGTAGGTGTAAAATTTGTGTCTCTATAGCCTTCCTAGTGGTGTATTGATGTCTAATGGGCTTTATGCTGAATGAATTTTAACAGAGCTTAGGTAAGTGATAAGGAAATACAATGGGTTGTTTGTTTTGTTTTGTTTTGTTTTTGAGACGGAGTCTTGCTCTGTTGCCCAGGCTGGAGTGCAGTGGTGCAATCTTGGTTCACTGCAACCTCTGCCTCCCAGGTTCAAGTGATTCTCTTGCCTCAGCCTCCTTTGTGGCTGGGATTACAGGCACCTGCCACTGCACCTGGCTAATTTTTGCATTTTTAGTAGAGACAGGGTTTCACCATGTTGGCCAAGCTGGTCTCGAACTCCTGACCTTGTGATCCACCCTACTCGGCCTCCCAAAGTGCTGTGATTATAGATGTGAGCCACCACTCCCTGCCAGAAATACAGTTTTATTCACTTGGAATAGTCATGGACTTAAAAGTGTTATATGGTTCTCATTCTTCACTGCTGTCCCCTTCTGCTTCTGTCTCCCCAGACCCTGAACCCCCTGTCAGAACTGGGGGTACCATGCAAAGACAGAGCACCTGTGCTGTGCAAGTAGGCTGTTGCTGCTGCTTCCCACCGAGTGCATGTTGGTGTTCAGGGCACAGGAGTCAGCAGATGGGCAGGCGGGTCACCTAGAAAGCATCCCAGTCAGTGCAGGTTTCAGGCCTCAGTTGAGCGCTCAGGAATTTCAAGGGCACTATTGATGCGGCAGGGCAATCAGAGGCCTTTTGTAGACAAGTGTGTTGTGTAAGAGCCCACAGGAGCGGAACAATGATTTGGGGGCCAACATTGCTGCAGAGCTGGAAGGCAGAATCCCAGCAGCAGTCAGATGAAACCCACCTGGGAAGACTCTGAGGCAGGCTTGTGTTTTCTAGCACTTAGCTTACCTTTAATGCCATCTGCTCCAAAATAGAGAATGGGAAGGTTTTGTTCAGACTTAGAATGCTTCCACAATAATTGCCTCCAGAGCTCTTTCGATTTCATTTTTCTAAAGTTAATTTCTTTCTCGTTCCAAAATTCAGGGATTGCATCAGGCAGTCAATGGCCTGGGATGGTATTACCACAAATTCAAGAAAAATTACGCCAAAGCAGCAAAGTACTGGTTAAAAGCGGAAGAAATGGGGAACCCGGATGCATCATACAATCTTGGAGTCCTGCATTTGGATGGCATCTTCCCCGGAGTTCCTGGAAGGAATCAAGTGAGTAAGACTTAAGACCCACTCTGCAACTGGTCGGTCACTTGATCTTGAAGCATTTGCTGAAGGTCTACTGTGTGCCTGGCCTGGTAGGGGGTAAAGACAGAACGCTGGACACAGTCCCTGTCCTTGAGGAGCTCAGGGGGTCTCCTAGGAAGACAAGATAGTGAAAAGGAAAAGATGGCATCTAGCCAAGTGCCAAGTGTGTGGCAAATGGTGTGACCCAGGGTCTGGAGCCGGGAAACAGTGAAGGCCAGGAAGGCTTCATGGAGGAGGGAGGCTTGAGCTAGAGGGAGGAACGGGAGTTGACACAGGGCAGGAATGAGCATGAGATGGAGCAGAGACTGATCTTGCTAGAAGCAAAGAGAGCTAAGTACAGATAGGATTGCCTGGTGTGAGACCAGCCCTAATAATAATGAAAACACAATGGCAATCTTTAGTGTTGACTAGGCATTTCCTCTGTGTTAAGCACCATGCAAAACACTCTACCATGTGCCCGCTTATGTAATCCTAATTCTCCTTTAAAATTGTGATTAATACTCTGGTTATGTCCATTTTTCAGATAAATGACTGAGGTTCTGGGAAGTTAAGTAACGTAGGGTCACACTCTTAGTGGCGAGAGGACTGGGGCCCTAGTGCACAGTAGAAGCCCACTTTATTAATAATAATGTTGATGTTGGTAAGAATAACCTGAGCTCCATTACTTTTTTTTTTTTTTTGAGACAGAGTCTTGCACTGTCACCCAGGCTGGAGTACAGTGGCACAATTTCAGCTCACTACAGCCTCCATCTCCTGGGTTAAAACGATTCTCATGCCTCGGCCTCTGGAGTAGCTGGGATTACAGGCGTGTGCCACCATGCCTGGTTAATTTTTTAATTTTTAGTAGAGATGAGGTTTTGCCCTGTTGTCCAGGCTGGTCTTGAACTCCTGGCCTCAAGTGACCACCCACCTTGGCCACTCAAAGTGCCAGGATTACAGACGTGAGCCACTGTGCCCGTCCCTGAGCTCCGCTACATTTAACAAAATGTGGAGAATACCCACCCAGTGCCAGGCACCCTTCTGAACACCAAGGACATAGTAGCAGGCAAAACAGTGCCTGCTCTTATGAAGTTTTCATTCCACTAGACGGAAAAGACAATGAACAAATAAATATGTAATAGAAGGGGAGGTGAAGGTCAGTGCTTTGCAGAGGAATAAAACAAGTTCAGGACGGCTGAGAGAGGTGGTTCACACCTGTAATCCCATCACTTTGGGAGGCCGAGGCGGGCAGATCACTTGAGCTCAGGAGTTCAAGACCAGCCTGACCAACATGGTAAAACTCCATCTCTAAAAATACAAGGCCTCATCACTAAAAACATAAAAATTAGCCAGGTGTGGCAGTGCATGCTTGTAATCCATCTCTAAAAATACAAGACCTCATCACTAAAAATATAAAAATTAGCCAGGTGTGGCAGTGCATGCAATCCCAGCCACTTGGGAGGCAGGAGAATCACTGGAACCTGGGAGGTGGAGGTTGCAGTGAGCCAAGATTGTACCACTGCCTTCCAGCCTGGGCAACAGAGCAAGACTCCATCTCAAATAATAATAATAAATAAAAATTAAAAACAAAATAAGCAACAAAAAATATATATAAGTAGAATAAAGGGGTGGAGGTTGGGAAATGCTGCTTTATAAGGGAGACCAGGGAAGGCCTCTCTCATCAGGTGATATTGTATAGACTCCTAAAGGATCTTATGGATATCTGGGAGAAGAACATTCCAGAAGAAAGGAACAGGCAGTGCAAAGGCTCTGAGAAGGAAGCAGGCTCGGTGTGCTAGAGGAGCAGCAGGGAGGCCAGGGGGTGGAGTGGAAAGAAGGAGGGATGGAGGTGGGTGGATAGGGCCAGGAAGGAAGCTGACCAGGTCAATGTGAGGCTCAGTTTCTGCTCTGAGCGAGATGGGAAACCACTGAGCAGTGTTGAACAGGGCAATGATGGGCTGTATTTTAAAAGGTTCCTCCTGGACCCTACCTACAAGAGACATGGACAGGAGCAGGGGTTTCATGTGTTGGATCCACATGGGAAGGAGCAGTGGGTGAGACCAGGGCATTGTTAGTGGAGGGGCAGGGATTGGGCTCTACAGGTATTTGGAAGTGAGACAGCAGGATTTGCTGATGGACTGAATCTGGGGTATGAAGGGTGGAGAAGAGTCAGGGCTGACTCCAAGGTGTTGGGCATTTGTTGGGTTGGAAGAACAGAAGTGGCGTTTATTGGGAGGGACAAGATTGTGGCAGCAGCAGGTTTGAGGGTAGGAGGGAAAGAATCGGAAGATTATTCTTTTTGACACACTATGCTAAACCTTGAGAATGTGTTATCTCATTTAATCCTTGCAACAACCCTTCACTCTAGGTGCTATCTGAAGGCACATTTTTCAGTGGAAGGAAATTAGGTTTGGAGAGATTAACCAACACACCCAAGTCCACACAGCTAGTAAAAAGTTGAACTGGGATTTGAACCAAGCCTGCCTAACTTCAACACCCATGCTTTCAAAAACAATAGCTAACCGCCTCAGAAAAATAATAGTAATCAGTGGAAGTATCTCCATCCACACGTTTGTCTTAGTTTTTCCTTCTACCTGTCTCCATGACATAAGAGGTTGTATATTTTTGTGCATAGCAAATGTGTGCTAACCCTCCCAAGACATCTGTGAGTGAAGATTTCTTTTGTCACATCCTAATTCTCACCTTCCTAGTTGAAATGCAGTTTTTGCACTTGAATTTGAAGAAAGGTATTAAGCAAGGTTAGGAAAGCAAATGCCTGGATTTTCACCTGGTGTGACTTCTGGTACTCTTCTATCTTGCCTGCAGCGGGTTATGTGAGGATCAAATGAGATGGCAATAGTATTCGTAATTACATGTTGTCTTATTTATTGGGTAAACTTAATCAACAGCATAGCCGAGGCAGGGTCATACATCCCAGAGGCTGGCTTCTGTGATTGGATGTCTTCCTGGAATTGTTGCTTGCCCTGGTTTTAAAGCTATCAGAAGTTATAAGCCTGTGATCATATCAGGCTTAAAGCATCTCGCCACCTTGTCTCCGGTGAAACCAGCCCAGCTAGGATGACTCGACGTTTGTTCATCTCTCATTACAGACTTTAGCTGGTGAATATTTCCATAAGGCTGCGCAAGGCGGACACATGGAAGGGACCTTGTGGTGTTCTCTCTACTATATCACAGGCAACCTGGAGACATTCCCTAGAGATCCTGAGAAAGCCGTTGTGTAAGAATCTGCCAAACGTTGCATTTGAAGGGAAAGCCATATCCTATATTCACGGTGCCTCAGCATTTTTTAAATTGAGTTTTTTATTTTTACCAGTTAGACATGCATGTAGTTTTATAAAGCCACATCATTTGGCAGGACAAAATTAAAAATTGTAATCAAAAATTTAAAAATAATTTGACAAAGACAAAACGAGAAACCCTTGGCTACCCCACTTCATCCCCCTCCCAGACTCTACTTTCTGCTCCCTAAAATGAACCACTTTCAATCTTTTAATATTCCTTTTACATTTGTCCCTATTTCTAAATAACATGCTTATACCGCTATTTCTTGGTATTTTCATCCTAGGCATTGTCTAATGGTGTCCCACTGTGAACCATAAAGATGTGGTTTTCTTTCACCCTGCCACCTCCCACTATGCGGCTCATTTACACTTCCTGCCATCTTTCATCTTCCCAATAAGTATATAATTTTGGTTCAATGAGTATCAGGGTTTACATTTTTATGACCATGTAAATGCTATTTCTAGCTGAGCCACGTAGTATACTATTAGTACTTTTCCTTTCTTGCACAACCTTTTCTTTTCTATGCGTTGCTACTTATCTTTTATTGTTTATTTGCATAGCTCTCTGCATACTTATCATTTTCTATGTACTTGATGTCCAAATTCTCTTCCAGGTACCTGAATTTCCTCTCAGTATATCCAGACCTATCTACATATTATATTAATTTAATTTGCTTGGTGACATCTGTCCTGGAGTCTTTGTTCAGGACAATGCTGTCATGCTGAGATTAACTGTCATCATTATGGGTATTTACTTTCCCTCCATCTCTGTCTTTTCTGCTTCTCTTCTTTGCCGGATCCCTTTCTTTCTCCTTCTTGGTCTGCACCAGCATTTTGGTAGAGCACATCCTATAGCAGGTTTCTGAAGCACGGTCAATGGGAGGCGCATTTTTGAGGTCTTGCATATCTGAAAATGTTTTACAGGAGTTGTCAAACCATGATCCATAGATGAAAGGTAGCCTGGTTCCTGTTTTGTATGGCTCCAAGAGCTGAGAATGCTTTTTACATTCCTGAGGAGTTACAAAACAAATAAAAAAGAGTATGTAACAGAGATCATATGTGGCCCACAAAGCTTAAGACATTTACTATCTTGCCCTTAACAGAAAAAGAGTTTGTTGATCTCTGTTTTAGGTCACCCTCACACTGATACCCTGGCTCTCCAAAAGACTGTTCTTCGTAACACATCTGGGATCAAATCCAACCTGATCTGACCTTGGTGATAAGCTTGACTTAGACTGACTTGAAGTTTTTTGTTATTTAGTGTTTTTGACATGAATATTCATGTTTCATGGATTTTCTGTTAATCCTCTTGTTATTGATTTCTAGCTTAATTTCACTGTGATCAGAGAATATATTCTGAATGATTCCAATCCTTTAAATTTGTCGAACTGTGCTTTATGACTGGTATATGGTCAATTTTGGTATATGTTTTGTGGCTTCTTGAAAAGAGTATACTTTCTGAACTTGTTGGGTACAATGTCTACATATATCAGTTACATCAAGTCTGTTAATTATATAATTCAGAGCCTCCTCACCCTTTCTAATGCTTCTTTTTCTGCTTGTTACATCAGTTACTGAAATAAGTCTGTTAAAATCTCCAACTATGTTTGTAGATTTATCTACCTCTCCTTTTAGTTCTGTCAATTTTGCATTATATATCTTGAATCTATGTTATTGGATCACATAGATTTAGAATTGTTTAGTCTTTGTAGTTGATCCCTTTTTCATTTTACAACGTCTTCTTTATCTCTGTTGATGGTTCTTGCCTTAAAGTCTATTTTTTCAGATTATCATATCGTTATACCTAGTTTTAATGTTAAAGCTTATATGATTTATCTTTTTCCATTTTTTTACTTTCAATTTTTCTTCATCCTTTTATTTCAATGTATGGCTCTTGTGAGCAGCATATAATTGGGTGTTTGTATCTTTTAATTTAAAATTAAAAAAAAATTTTTTTTTGCATTTGTTAATTTTCATTTTTAATTGGTATATTTAGTCCATTTACATTTAATGTAATTATGGATATGTTTGGTTTTAAATAGACCATTTTCCTGTCTATTTTTTATTTGTCACATCTGTGGGAGGGTTTTTGTGCCTTTTAAAAATCTCTTTTCTTACTCTTCCTTTGTATTAATCGAGTATTTTTAAAAATTATTACATTTCTCCTTCTATTAGTTTATTAGTTATGTATTCCTACACTATTATTTTAGAAGTTATAAGTCCAAAATTATAATAGATTAGGTCATTATTAGTAAACTCCTAATAAATTAGGGGACAAAGCAAAATAGGGAAAACCAATAAGAAGTCAGTAAACGTGACTTAGTAGAGCACTAGAACTCTTGGTAGAGATTATATTTTTTTGTATTGGTGGATATATTTCATTTTATATCTTACATGCCTTCGTTTCCATAAATACAACTCCTAAGCATCATAAGGGCACTAAATGAAAAGCTCTCAGAATGCATTTTCTTTGCCTCCTTAGCATTCACTTCTGGTTTGTTGCTCTATAGAAATTCTAACTAGCAAAATATTCCCCAAGTGGGATTTATTGAGATCATATGAAGAAAAATGTTTTATTAAATTTGCCACGGTTTGCATATTTTCTCTTCCCTTTTTTTTTTTTTCAGATGGGCAAAACATGTAGCTGAGAAAAATGGCTATTTGGGTCATGTCATTCGCAAAGGCCTCAATGCCTACCTGGAAGGCTCATGGTAAGCTTGGGACCCACGTTAGAGCAAACGTTTTTCTCTGTCAGTCAGTATAGTCTTATGAAATGGAATCTTAAAATGCAACTGAGAAAGCAATTTGCAAGGAAATCACAGCCTCCCAGTAATGATATTCAGAGTATCATGGACTGATTGGCTGTTGATTGGAAAACATAGCATTTCCGTGTTTAATTATACTCAAAAATTTGTTCTCTAGGGGAATTGTTCACACTCATCAAGTTGAGAGAGATACACAAATACATTGATTTCTCTTTCCTTTTAGCTTGCCCCTCTTGGTTTTAGAGTCTAGAGACATCAGAGGGGATCTTAGGTGAGACTCTCTGCCTTTTATTTCCAGGTCCAGAAAGTCCAGAATTTCTGCCTTGTTGCTAGCAAGAAGACAGATCAATGTTTAAGGCTCAGGCTACCTCTTGCATAGATATTTTACTGCATCTGCCATGACTAGGAGCCTGGGATTGCTGGAAGTCACTCACCAGTATCCAGTTGCACAACCAAACACATGCCTTCCTTCCCAACCTTCTGGTAGAGTTAGCGAATCTCATCTTGTTCTATATGGGATGAGACGTGGCACATGAGGACCCACAAATGCTCCCTGTTTGCTGTTACTCACAGATTTTACAAATCAGAGACCCTTCTCTTAACTTGACTAGTCTTCTTTCTTTTATTTTTTCTGTCAGTTCTAGCATTCCATCTTTGTTTTAACTTGAGTCACATTTTCTTGGCTGGTCTATTGCCTAAATGATCTGGGTATTTCACGAATAACTAAAGAAAGCCCTCGGTCCACTGCCTCAAACACATTAGATAAGACCTAACACTGATCATACTCTGATTTGAACCATAATTAAAAATTCAAGTATAAGTTCAAAAGAATGACATTTTCCTTTTTAGTCCGCGGCTGAACACACAACCAACAGATAGCATCTCAATGAGTGAGAATCTTAAATTAGAGAATGTAGGAGAAATGAGGCCAACAAAGAAAGCACCAAATGCAAATTTTTGTTATCATCGTCCTGTGAAAGTTTATTACCTTTCACAGGAAATGTCACAAATGTCACAAAGCACTTTGGCACATTTTAAAAGCTGCTGTGAAGGGCTAGATGGATTAAGATTTCTGTGGCTTGCTCTCTTGGAATACTCAGCTTCAACGTGGTTTTCTGTTTGGTTGCTTTGTTGGTCGGGTGGTGGGGGGGAAGGAGAAAGGAGACCTGAAGTGTGTCCTGCACCCTTTGTGAGTTTGGATTCCGTTCAGCAGATGTTACTGAATACCCTTAAATGCAATATACCTGGCCACAAGCTTAAAGAGATGCCTCAAGCAGGGCTTAGGGAAATTTGCTGCCTCATCTTTTCCGCAGGCAGGTTCTCATGTGGCCCCTATTCTGTCCGATCTTTGAGACCTTCGGCTGGCTTTTCCCTCTGTCCAGGAATCTTACCTAACTCCTTACTTCCTTTTGTTCTTCCATGGATCATGATTGCTTTTCACGTGTTGATTGCCCGATGACTTGTGTCCCAGTTCCCTGTACACAGGGGTACCCCAATAAGTGTTTAGAAACTACTGATGGAGTGAACTAAGGCAAATAGAGGGAGTGATTATATGAGCAGTATGTAAAGCTCATTGGGGATACTAAGGAGGAGAAGATGCCTGGTTTGGGAAGCTTGGGACAGCCTTCATGATAGAAGTAATGGATGATGTGGTTTTGAAGGATGCATGGAATTTCCACTTAGCCGTTCAGGGAACAGCATTTATGGTGTAGGGAATTGCAGGAACAAAAGCAAAGAGATAGGAAAAATCTAAGTGAGTCTACAGAATATTATGCCATGTGGGTAAAACTTGAGCGAGATATATAATGAAACCAAAGAAGTGCTAGCTACTTTATCCAATTTTGAATGGCAGATTGTGCATTTGTGAAGCAGTGGGGAACGATCAATAGTTTTTTTATTTAATTTACGAAGCAGTAGGGAGCCATTGATCATTTTGGAGAGCATAGTGACATGACAGAGGCTGTTTCTAAGATGCTTAATCAAACAGCTGTTTATGGTGAACAGAAGGGAAAGCCTGAAAGGGGAGTTAGTTCAAATCCAGGCAAAAGGAGCTGAGCATTTGAACAGAAGATGTGGCATGAGTCAGTAGAGTGGCTTTTCTGTTCTTTTGTTATGTAGTTATTAATACATATGAGGTATATATGATCTATACATAAGTTCCAAAGCATGACAATAAAATGAACAGCTGTAAGGCTACATTCTACTTTTAAAAAATTACATGGCCAGTACTGGTGAAGCCCCAGCTGTCCCTCCCAGATTAAATGCCATCCTACCCCTACTTCCCAGAAGTAACCATCCGCCTAGCTTCTTGTTGATCTGCCCCTTGCTCTCTTTGTACTTTTGCTACATGTGGATATATTCCTAAGCGATGGATTTCGTTTGTCTTATTTCTGACTTTTATATGATTAAAATTGTTTTATATAATACATAATTCTTCAACTGCTTTTTTTTACTTAACATTACGTTCCTAAGGTTCACACATTTTGGCTGGGCACAGTGGCACATGCCTGTAATCCCAGCACTTTGGGAGGCTGAGGCGGTCAGATCACCTGAAGTCAGGAGTTTGAGACCAGCCTGACCAACATGGTGAAACCCTGTCTCTACTAAAATACAAAAATTAGTCGGGCATCATGGTGCACACCTGTAATTTCAGCTACTTGGGAGGCTGAGGCAGGAGAATCACTTGAACCCAGGAGGTAGAGGTTGCAGTGAGCCGAGATCGACCCACTGCACTCCAGCCTTGGCAAAAGAGCAAGACTCCCTCTCAAAAAATAAAAAAATAAAAATAAGATTCGCACATTTTGATGCATGTACCTGTAGGTCATTCATATTCACTGCTGTAATAGACCACAATTTATTTCCCAATTCTCTTGTTAATTAGTTTTGTGTTCTCTTTCATTTTTTTCTTCTTTTTCCTCCTTTCTTTCTTCTTTTCTTTCCTTTCCTTTTTCCTTTCCTTTCCTTTCCATTTTTAAAGAGCAATTCGGCCATGAGTATTTTTTGTGTATCTCCTGGGACACATAAAAAGAGTCACTCCAGAATATAAACTTTGGAGTGGTGACTCTGGGTCATAGGGGAACACATTCAACCTTACAAGACAATGTCAGTTGTTTTCCTAAGTGGTTTCATCAATTCAGTCTCTTGCCCATCATATATAAATTTGAATTTCTCCATATCTTTGCCAATCTTGATATGGAAGCTAATTATTTTTAAAGCTATGTCTCAGTCTGGATTTGAGACCTCTTAGTATCAACAGGAAGAAACATTTCATATCTATTTCAATGGGGAGATCTTTGTCAAAATATATTTGGGGCAAAGTGCTTCTATCCATTCCTGCTCTCAAAGCCTTCAAGCTCTCCCCAGGGGTTAAATAGGAGATAGATGCGAGTTGGCCTCTTCACAGCCCAACATGATATTTCTTTGGTACCATCCATTCTGCTGTAATAGAACTAAATCATCCATCAATGTCCTCAGTCCATCCCCTTTTTTTATTTTTGTGTGAGTGAATTTCTTCTGTAAGTTATTTTCAAATTACATGTGTCAGTTTGATGAGCTTGTGCTTTTCTGTGTTGTTCCAAGATTTATATGGGATAGTTTAAAAGAGGAGCATGATTAAGAAAAGGGCTTTTTGCTGTATCAGCATTATACCGAAGATAATGTTGTCACGCCTGAGGCTGTCCTCGGACACTAGAAGGAGTTAGCCAAGGAAAGACCAGCTGTCATGTTTCATTTCTCTCTGCCTTACCGCTACATGTGTTTTATCTGCAAGCTACATGTTTTATTGGCCTTTGTCTTAAATATACCAAAAATACTTAACCCAGGAGGTTAGCCAGATTATAGAGGGCTTGAGGCAAGGCAAGTAAGATACATTAGCTCCAGGTGAAGGAAATTCACCTTTTTGCAGTAGAGCTGAGGTCCTGAATTCCACTGAGACCCCAGGATTTTTTTTTTTTTTTTCATCCTTATCGTCTGAGCTACTTCAGGCACTGGCAGAAAAGAACACATGGAAAATAATATAATTGTGGAGAAACTGCTCAGGGGTACTCAAATTTTAATTCACAGCAAGCAGCCAAAGGATTGATTATTAAGATGTATCATTATAAAAATTCTAGAAATGCATGTGCTGGGTCTGAAAGGAGGATAGCAAATGTGTCTTAAATTCTTTCTTTTCTCTCAGCCCCTTCCTCTCTGCACCCATTCCCCTCTCCCTGTCAAAATGACTGTCTAGGGGACAGTTTTACTTGAGGGCATTGGAAATAAAGCTTGAAGCTCTGATTGACTTCCTAAACCTTGAGGAAATTCGAGGAAGGACGACAGTTTTGTAGCTTGTCTTTGGGCTTCCTACAACTAAAAAGTGCTAAGTAAATGTTTGTTCAATGAATATAAGTGTAGGAATATCTGTAATTAGTATTTTCAGATGATGTCTGTTGAAACACAAGTAAGAGCAAAGTGCTAGAAGGCTGAATGTGGGTAACAGGGTTTCTGCAGAGACATTGTCTCAGAAGATTCAACAAGCTGAGGAAATCTGGTCTTGAGTGGTCAGCCCCCACCTAGAGCTCACTGCTCAGTAAATGTGAAAATGGATGGTGGTGGTACAGGCATCAGGCGATTGATTGTCCAAGATGAGAGACAGAGGTGGATTTCTTTTTTTTCTTTTCTTTTTTTTTTTTTTTTTGTTTTTTCTGAGACAAGAGTCTCACGCTGTTGCCCAGGCTGGAATACAGTGGAGCGATCTTGGCTCCCTGCAACATCTGCCTCCTGTGTTCAAGTGATTCTGCTGCCTCAACCTCCCAAGTAGCTGGGATTACAGGCACCCACCACCATGCCCAGCTAATTTTTGGATTTTTAGTAGAGATGGGGTTTTACCATGTTGGCCAGGCTGGTATCAAATTCCTGGCCTCAGGTCATCTGCCTGCCTTGACCTCCCAAAGTGCTGGGATTAAAGGCATGAGCCACCATGCCCAGCCCAGAGGTGGATTTCTGTTCAGTGCTTCTATGGATAACACATAACTTTGTAGGCATCTCTTTCTGGTGGATTTCAGTGCTTCCTCAATGGAAACGCTTGAGAATTCTATGCCATTTCCTTCTGGTCTACACAATGATTGGACGATAGAAGTCTTCTGTAAAACTTGTTCCTCCCTTCCTTCCCCACCACGTAGATCACTTTAGACACAAGATATTATCTTTATGAAGCTTATCATTGTAAAAGTTCTTGCAGGGAGTGTCAGCCGCCATTTCCCCCACCCATTCTGACAACCAGCCTACTGGTTTCTGCTGTTGAGAAAAAATTCTTTTTTTTTTTTTTTGGAGACAATCTGGCTCTATCGCCCAGGCTGCAGTGCAGTGGTGAGATCTTGGCTCACTGCAACCTCCCCCTTTCAAGTTTGAGCGATTCTCCTGCTTCAGCCTCCCGAGTAGCTGGGATTACATGCCACCATGCCCAGCTAATTTTTTTGTATTTTAGTAGAGATGGGATTTTACCATATTGCCCAAGCTGATCTTGAACTCCAAAGCTCAAGCGATCCTCCTGCCTTGACCTCCCAAGTTCTGGGATTACAGTTGTGAGCTACCGTATGCCCGGCCAGAAAAACAACTCATTTTGTTACATTTTAGTAAAGACGAGCCACATGCCAGCTAGTTATGGTCACAGAGGCCACGGGCCCAATATGTGACCTTGGTGTGCAGGTGTATACCGTCTCCTTTCCTCATCAATCCCTGCTGGAAACTGAGACACTAGTGAAGGCCGGAGTGTCTCTGAAGAAACTTGAGAATTTTCTAAGACCTTAGGAACAGGACCTTGTGTCAGAATGAGGAGGACTTTCTGCTGGGCCTCCCTTGCCTGCCTTCTGTCTGGGGTCTTGCGTCTGCTCTGAGGATTCCTGTAGCCAAACATAGATTTTGCAGGCTATGTTGGCAAATCCCCAAGGTTTCTTTGGGATGTTGTAGCAGCTGCACCTTGGGGCTTGTTATCTGGCTTGCCTCTGCAAGGGACACTGCTTCTCTGACCTTGTCCCTCTTTAGCCTGAGTCATAGCTAATTGGTCAGCTGCCTCAGGTATCTCAGAGGCTGGGAATTGGCGCACTCAGCAGCCACGTGGCCTGTGGCCTGCACCATGTCCGACTGAAGGTCTAACTATCCTAATTTGATCCCCAGCACCTCTCGGCCTCCAAGGGATTGCCTGCCGGAAGCTGCTGTCAGCAGTTTCGAAGAGATGATTTCAGAACCTGCTTCCCTTACTCCCCCTCACCCAGCCTTTCCCCACCGTTTCCTAAACCAGTTCCTAGGTGGAGCTAAAATTACAAAAGAGCTATTAATATCAACTCCTTAAAATGAAAAATGAGCTTTAAGAAACTGCTTATGGTTAAAACAGAGTTTTACTCTTAAGCTGGGTAACGTATAAAAAAAAATTGAGGGAATCAGATAAGTAAAAAGAATAGAATAAAAAACACCTGCATTCACACCACCCAGAAATAAGTATTGTTAGTATTTTGGTGTTAATTTTTAGGGTTTTTTCCTCTCCCTGTTTGTAGCTGCATGTGTATGTGGGTGCATGTGTGTGTTCAGTTTGATTTTTGTTTTGCAAAAATAGGATGCATTGTTTTATACCCTGCTTTTTTTTTTTTCACTGAATGGAAAATTATGCATGAATATTTTGCTATGTTTTTCAATACCCTTCCACACATCATTTTAGTGGCACGTCTGAAAGTGGCTGCACTGTGGGTCAACTTCACTAGTCTCTGATTTTCAAACGTTTAAATCGTTTTCAGTTTTTTGTTGTTGCTCATGTAAATAGCTCTACTATGAACTCCGTGGCAGCAGAGTCTTTGTACATATCCCTGATTCTTTAGAATAAACCCCAACAAGAGAGAACTGTAGGGCCAAATGGTACATATGTTCTTGTCTCCTCCTGCCTGTCCTTCCAGAGCTGTGGAATTAATTGGCTCTCAGCCTGGCAGCAGTGGTAGAGCATGTCCATTTCCACAAGCCCTTGCCATTATTCTGTTGATGAATCTTGTACCAATTTTTCAACAGATGAAAAGGGGTCACTCGTTCTTTTGCGATTATTCGATTCCTAGTGGTGTCAAACGTTTTTTTCATATGTGTTTTGGCCATTGATACCAAGTCCCTTGCAAACTGCCTCTCCCTTGCCAAACTTCTAATGCACAACAAAAGCTCAGCTTGAATTAAGCTCGTTCAGAATCCTAAGCCCTGTAAAGCCTTTCACGAAACAGAAGACTCCAAAGCACAGGGTTTTTTCTTAATACCACTTATCCCTCTAAGCGAGGATGGAAGGATTCAAGGACTGAAGGCTAGTAGACAGCTCTCCAGCCAATATCCGACACACCCTTCAGCCAGTAGAGGTAGCTGTTGCATCAACCAGCTCCCCAGCCTTATCTGTGAGTTCAGCCTTTAAGACGGAAAATAAATCAGTGCATGCAGTATTTTTAACAATATTTATTTCTTAAAAAAAAACTCATGATTTTGTGGTTTTTTTTAAAAAACTGCTTATTTTGTGCCCTTTTATGTTTGAATATGAAGCACTCTGTGAATATTAGTAAGAGCCACTGTATGAAATTTATTGTTAATCATCTATTTTTAGGCATGAAGCTTTGCTGTATTATGTTTTAGCAGCAGAAACTGGAATTGAAGTGTCACAGACAAATTTAGCACACATCTGTGAGGAGAGGCCAGTAAGTAAATGTATTCTTCTCAGAGTTGAAGCTGTGAGGTTAAGGATAATGAATTGGGTTTTAAGAAGGCAATGTTGGTCACTTGGCCGAAATATTAATGAATTAACTTCTTCTTTCCTTTACCCCTTAGGACCTGGCCAGGAGATACTTGGGTGTTAATTGTGTTTGGAGATACTATAACTTCTCTGTTTTTCAAATCGATGCTCCTTCCTTTGGTATGTATAGAAAAACAGGTGCAAAATTGAACCATTAGAGGTTTTTAATCTTTGGGAACAGGGAATATCTAACAGCTTTGTGTGAAGTGAGATATTTCTAAATAATTAGAAAAGAAAGTGAAAAATCTCTGCTAGTAAGGTTGCTAAACTCTGCTCTCAGCCTCACGTAATGCACTGCTCCTTGCCCATTGTTCCATGCAGCGCTTGGACCCAACATTTCCTATTTTTTCATTTTTATTTTTTTGAGACAGTCTCACTCTGTTGCCCATGCAGGAGTACAGTGATGTGATCTCGGCTCACTGCAATCTCCGTCTCCCAGGTTCAAGTGATTCTCCTATCTCAGCCTCTCGAGGGGCTGGGATTTCAGGCACCTACCACCACACCCAGCTAGTTTTTATATTTTTAGTAGAGATGGGGCTTCACCATATTGGCCAGGCTGGTCTCAAACTCCTGACCTCAGGTGATCTGCGCACCTCAGCCTCCCAAAGTGCTGGGGTTATAGGCATGAGTCGTCGCTCCTGGGCCCCAGCATTTCTTCTGAGTCAATGAAAATGTAAAAGAGAATGCTATTATGGAGCAGTTCTCTGGGCCAGTCATTTGCCTGGATTCCACAGCCCTGCTCTGCATGGTAGGTGGCTGGCCTCCTGGAACTACAATTCCCAGACTCATCTACCTATGAGCTTCTGATTCCTTTCAGGCAATAGGAGGCACTGGCAGAAGATTACAGGATGGAAGAAGCCCAAGTACTTCTCCCCTCCTCTCTCTGCGTTGCCCGTGTCTCCGTCAGTGACTGCATCTCTATGGTTCCAGCCCCTGCCTCTCTGCGTTGCCCGTGTCTCCATCAGTGACTGCATCTCTATGGTTCCAGCCCCTGCCTGGCAGCTCCACCCTCTTTGGTCTCAGCTATCACCAGGCTCTGAGTCTCTAGTAACATTGTAGGTGCCTTGTGGCCTCAAGTCCTGGGGATGATGGTAGCCTTCTCACTGCTCATCTCTGGGCTGCCTATTATTTCCCATTTGCCTTTTCAGCTCTCCCAACACCCTAGTAACTACTTTCCCATGATGAAATTCCTCTTTTGAACTGCCTGAAATGGATTCTGTTTTCCTGATTGAACATTGACTAATACATGCACTTTTTTTTTTTTTTTTGAGATGGAGTCTTGCTCTGTTGACCAGGCTGAAGTGCAATGGCACGATCTCAGCTCACTGCAATCTCCACCTCCCAGGGTCAAGCGATTCTCCTGCCTCAGCCTCCCGAGTAGCTGGGATTACAGGCACGCACCACCACACCTGGCTAATTTCTGTATTTTTTAAAAATATAGATGGGGTTTCCTCATGTTGGCCAGTCTGGTCTCTAACTCCTGACCACCAGTGATCCACCTGCCTCAGCCTCCAAAAGTGGTGATATTACAAGTATGAGCTACCACGCCTGGTTGATACATACATGCTTAAACACAAGTCCTCCCCAGAGGAAAAATAAAACACATGGCTAAAGCAAAGAGTTACCAATAACAGACATCAAAGATGAACAGCAAAATTTCAGAAGTGAAGTAAAGCACCCAAAACAACCTTGGCTGATTGGGCTACAAGGTTGTAGACAGATTTGTACAAACAGAGCTATTCAGGAGAGCTACCTGGCCAAATAAGAAACTGTGTCTAGCGGCCAGACACAGTGGCTCACACCTGTAATCCCAGCACCTTGGGAGGCTGAGATGGGAGGACTGCTTAAGCCTAGGAGTTTGAGACCAGCCTGGACAACATGGCAAAATGCCATCTCTACAAAAAATACAAAGATTAGCCGGGCATAGTAAGACACTCCTGTAATCCCAGCTACTTGGGAAGGTAAGGTGGAAGGATTACTTGAGCCCAGGAGGTCGAGGCTGCAGTGAGCCCTGATGTCACCACTATACTCCAGCCTGGGCAACAGAGACCGCCGTATTGAAAAAAAAAGGAAAGAAAGAAAGAAAGAGAAAGAAAGAAAGGAAAGAAAGAAGGAAAGAAAGAAAGAAAGAAAAAGAAAGAAAGAAAGAAAGAAGGAAAGAAAGAGAAAGAAAGGAAGGAAGGAAGGAAGGAAGAAAAGAGAGAGAGAGAAAGAAAAGAAAGAAAGAGAAAGAAAGAAAGAAAGAAAAAAGTAGAAAATACGTCTAGAAATAGGGATTCTCTGGGTAAAAAGCCCTTTTCTTGTTTCTCTCTTGACACATCGGGGAAACGTAAAAATGTGCTGTATTCAGATACTAGCACGGAAAACCCATTCATGTGACTGGGCCAATAATTTGAAATATTGGTGTGAAAAAAACTACTCGATAAATGGATCTGTGCTTTATGTCCTGCAGCATATTTGAAGATGGGGGACCTTTACTACTATGGCCACCAAAACCAGTCACAAGACCTGGAGTTGTCTGTGCAGATGTACGCCCAAGCTGCCCTGGATGGAGACTCCCAGGTAAACAGCAAACACAACAAAAACCAGCTCTTGGCCGGGCACGGTGGCTTATGCCTGTAATCCCAGCACTTTGGGAGGGCAAGGTGGGTGGGTTGCTTGAGGCCAGGAATTCGAGACCAGCCTGAGCAACATGGTGAAACCCTGTCTCTACTAAAAATACAAAAAAAAAATTAGCTGGGCTTGGTGCTGCATGCCTGTAGTCCCAGCTACTCGGGAAGCTGAGGCAGGAGAATTGCTTGAACCCAAGAGACGGAGATTGCAGTGAGCCAAGATCGAGCCACTAGCCTGGACAACAGTGCGAGACTCCATCTAAAAAAAAACCAAAAAAACAAAAAAAAAACCCAGCTCTTGGTGACATCCATTTGTGAACTTGCAAAACCAGAATTCTTCCTAACAGTCCTTTCTGTCTCCATACACTGCACAGTTTACAAAGGCGTTGTTCATCCATTTTTCACATGCCCCTCACAACAACTCTACAAGGACACTAGCCCTAAGGGTGAGTCTTTATTAAACACCTGCTATGTCCCCTGCACCATTCCCACACAATCCTGTGGGGGTGGGGATTATTATACCTGACCCATAGCCAAAAGTAATGAATTATTCAAAGCCAAATAATTAGATGGTAAGCAAAGTGGCGAGAGCCTAAACCTGGGTCTTTAGCTCCAAACAGAAGGGTGTTTCTGCCAAGTTGCATCAAACTCACCAGGTAGAAACTCAAGAAATTAGAAGTGCCCCGCAATAGGAAGTGGTTTGCTTGTACTGTTGGGCCATGCTTCAGTGACAGTTTTTCTCTCAATGATTTTTTTGGAAACTTCTTTTTTTATTGAGACGGAGTCTCCCTCTGTTGCCCAAGTTGGAGTGCAGTGGTACGATTTTGGCTCAATGCAAACTCCGTCTCCTGGGTTCAAGTGATTCTCCTATGTCAGCCTCCTAAGGAGATGGAACTAAAGGTGCCCACCACCACGCCCAGCTAATTTTTGTATTTTTAGTAGAGATGGGGTTTCACCATATTGGCCAGGCTGGTCTCGAACTCCTGACCTTGAGATCCACCCACCTCAGCCTCCCAAAGTGCTGGGATTACAGGCATGAGCCATTGTGTCCAGCCGGAAATTTATTTGAAAATCATGTTAGATTTATGTAAAAGAGGTGAGAGTTCCTGTATACCCTTCATTCAGCTTCCCCTGATGCTCACATCTTACATAACCACAATGCCATTGTCAAACTAAGATATTAATGTTGGGAAAGTATTGTTGAGTACACTTCAGACTTCATGTAGATTTCACCAGTTTTTCCACTAATATCCTTTTCCTGTTCCCAGATTCAATGCAGGATCCCACATTAGATTGAGTTGTATGTTTCTCTCCAGTCTTCTTCAATCTATGACAGTTCCTCAGTCTTTTCTTATATTCATAACCCTTAAGACTTGAAGAATACTTGTTGTGTAGCTTGTCGAATGTCCCTTGATTTGGGTCTGTTTTCTATTTTCTCTTGAATAGATTGAGTTTATACATTTTGGGCAAGAATTTTGTCTGTTAGCATTGTTACCAAGGTGTTGTAACGATGATTCTCAATTCCCCTGATTTCTTCTACATTTGCTATTTGGAATTCTCTTGTGGGGACCTCTGGATCATTTTCATGACAGAAGTTGGCATAGTTGTTACCCTCTTCTGCAGCGGGTTTCTGGTGTTATGCTTTAGAGTCTAATCACAGAGCAAAAGTTGGAAACTCATCCCTGTATCAATCTTTGATGGGATTTTGTTGTCGCTGCTGTTTTGTGGGGTTTTTTGAGACAGGATCTCACTCTGTCACCCAGGCTGGAATCCAGTGGTGCAATCTCAGCCCACGCAGCCTCCATCTCCCAGGCTCAAGCAAACCTCCTACCTCAGCCTCCTTAGGAGCTGGGACTACAAGTGTATGTCTGGCTAATTTTTGTATTTTTTGTAGAGACGGGATTTTGCCATGTTGTCCAGGCTGGGCTTGAACTCCTGGACTCAGGTGATCTGCCTGCCTTGGCCTTCCAAGGTGCTGGGATTATAGGCATGAGCCACTAAGCCCAGCCGGTCTTTTTTTTTTTTAATGGCGGTACAACATCATAGTGGTCATGTACCTGGGTTAAAATCCCACGTCTCTCTCACTCCAGCAAGTCCCTGAATCTCTGAATCTCTATCTGCTCATGTGTAAATGGGGGTAGTTTGAGCATCTGCCTCCTAGATTGTGAGGATTAAATGAGATTTGGTGTAAAGCTCCAGTCCTGCCACGGCTTAGACAATGATTAGTGGTGGGGACACAAGATAAAAAGATAGATTCTACTCTTGCCTACATGGGATTTATAGTCTACCTAGGAAGACTTGGAGGTGGCTTCCTCTTGTATTGGAATTATAGCTAGTGCTACAATGAATATTTTCATATTTCCATCTTTTCTTTTAGTTTGAATAAAAGAAAAGATTCCCTTATAATCTGAGAAATAGCATTATTGAGTCAGACAGTCCAAATGGTTTTATGAGGCCGGGCGTGGTGGCTTATGCCTGTAATCCCAGTAATTTGGGAGGCCGAGGCAGGCGGATATTTGAGGTCAGCAGTTTTGAGTCCAGCCTGGCCAACATGGCGAAACCCCATCTCTACTAAAAATACAAAAATTAGCCAGGCGTGGTGGCACACGCCAGTAATCCCAGCCACTTGGGAGGCTGAGGCAAGAGAATCTCTTGAACCTGGGAGGTGGAGGTTGCAGTGAACTGAGATTGCACCACTGCACTCCATCCTGGGCAACACAGTGAAGCTCCATCTCAAAAAATAAAAATAAATAAATAAATAAATGGTTTTATGACTATATGATAACACACTGCCATTTTGCTCTCTGAAAGGGCTTTCCATTTGACACTTCACCACCTCAGTGGTTAAGTAAAGAAGGATGACTGAAATCTTACCAGCAACTGGATGCTTTCATGATTTAATTTTGCTAATTGAATAATGATGTGCTGATAACTTTCTTACTCTTTTTAACTTGCATTTATTTAATTACTAGTGACAGTGGGCACTTTTACATATACTTGTTTATGATAATTTACTTTTCACATTTTCTTTTCTGTAAATTCTCTATTCTTATTCTTTGCCTGTTTATCTATTGGAATCTTGGCACTTTTAAAAATGTAAACCATAATTAGTTCTCTATGTATTTATCTAGTAAATGATGAACGTTAAGCTTTTACATTGCATACAACTATTCTCCTACTCTATCTCCCCATTATTCCATTGATTAGACTAAAATTTCGTAAAGCCATTTTTTTTCTTTTCTCTTAATACCTCGAGTTTTAAGAGTGCCTTCCTTTCAAAGAGTGGCGAACTAGTCTATTTTCTTCTGTTGTGTAAGTGTGAGTGTGTGTGTGTGTGTGTGAGTGTATCTTAAAAATACTTAATTCTTCATCTATTTAGAGGTCATTCTTGGCACCTGATGGAGTCTAAGATTTGAGACTCTGCACCCTTTCTGCTTGTGTTTGACTCTCCAGCTCTGCCACTTTCCAACTATGTTACTTTGGGCAAATTATTTAACCACTCTGTGCCTCGGTTTCCTCATCTATAAAATAGAGAGGATAATAATACCTATATCAGTTTGTTGTTTTTTTTTTTTTTTTTTTTGAGACGGAGTTTCGCTCTTGTTACCCAGGCTGGAGTGCAATAGCGCGATCTCAGCTCACCGCAACCTCTGCCTCCTGGGTTCAGGCAATTCTCCTGCCTCAGCCTCCTGAGTAGCTGGGATTACAGGCACACGCCACCATGCCCAGCTGAATTTTTGTATTTTTAGTAGAGATGGGGTTTCACCATGTTGACCAGGATGGTCTCGATCTCTTGACCTCGTGATCCACCCACCTCGGCCTCCCACAGTGCTGGGATTACAGGCTTGAGCCACCGCGCCCGGCCCAGTTTGTTGTTATAAGGGTTAAATGAATAAATATAAAAAACAACAATGCCTTGCTTATGGCAAGCATTCAAACTGTGAGCTGCTGGTATTTTTTATCATGATTGCTGCATATGATGGTTGTGAAAGTCGTGGATTATGCAACCTGGTAGTGATGATTTTCATTTAGATTGTTGTCAAAGGCAACTAAGAAGCAAGGTCAGAGAGAAGATAAAAGCCATTAGACATGATCTTGTCATTAGAGAAGCACAAGTCAAAACTACAATAGACACCATCTCACACCAGTCAGAACCCTTATTATTACAAAGTCAAAAAATAACAGGTGCCGGTGAGGTTGCAAAGAGAAAAACACTTATGCACTGTTGGTGCGAGTGTAAATGAGTTCAACCATTGTGGAAAATAGTGTAGCAATTCCTCAAAGACCTAAAAACAGAACTCCCATTTGGCCCAGCAATCCCATTACGGGATATATACTCAAAGGAATGTAAATCGTTCTGTTATGAAGACACATGCACATGTATGTTCATTGTAGCACTATTCACAGTAGCAAAGACATAGACTCAACCTAAATGCCCATCAACAGTAGACTGGATAAATAAAATGTAGTGCATTACATGGTGGAATGCTATGCAGCCATAAAAAAGAATGAGATCCTGTCCCTTGCAGGAACATGGATGGAGCTGGAGGCCATTATCCTTAGCAAACTACGCAGGAACAAAAAACTAAATACCACATGTTCTCACTTAGTGGGAGCTAAATGATGAGCACACAGAGGTGCAGAAAGGGGAATAACAGACACTACCTAAGGGTGGAGGTTGAAAAGAGGTGGAGGATCAGGAAAAATAATGAACAGGTACTAGGCTTAGTACCTGGGTGACAAAATAATATGTACAACAAACCCCGATAGCACATAACAAAACAATCTATATGACGAACCTGCACATGTACCCATAAACTTTAAAATAGAAGTTAAAAACAAAACACAAAAAATGTGATCCTGAGTTCTTTCAAGGGCAACAATCCAGTTTAATTGGTCAAGCCCTCACGGTAAGTACCCCATTGCTTTCTGCTTGTTTCTTGATCCAGCCACATGCTAGGCTCATGACGGAGGGTGCGCATTCTCCAGGCAGTGTCATAGTACACATCCTTTATGAAGCATGTCTACAGTCAGGCCCTTTAACTGTGTTTATTTTATTGGATCCATACAGCCCAATAAGGCAGGTCCTACCTCTAAGGATCAAGGACAGTGTCAGAGGGAGACATAGGAAAATATGCCACAGTGGAGATCTGTGCCCAGAAGAGTCATGAGAAGAGGTTTCTGCACCAGCCTAGGAAAGCTGAGATAGTGTCCTTAGGTGATCCTGTGCAAGGGAGCCATGTTGGGATGTCAGTCATGGGAAGCAGCCCTAGCCACAGAAATATTTTGTCAGATTTTCAACAGGGCTGTCGCAACCTAGGGCATAGTCTGTAAGTGATGGACATGGCGTTCAACTCGGTTTGACTCTGGTTTTGTTTATGATACAAGGGCGCATTTTCCAGTAAGTTCTGTTTTGAGAGAGTGAGCGAGAAAGGACAGATCTCCCGGTTGACTGGCTTCGGACCAGATGGGACACAGCAGCTTCTGAAGCCTCCTGGTTCTCGTGCAAATAAATTTCTCAGATGCATGTATTTAGGGAAACAATTCATCAATGAGGATGACAAAACCATCTGGCTGTAGAGACTGAAAAAAAATTTTTAGAGGTTGTAAACATTTACATTCTGATGAAGAGTGTGTGTCTAGGTTTTATTTCAAGGAGTTGATGAGTTTGGTTTATGGCTTGTTTTTAGGGATTTTTTAACCTGGCCCTGCTAATTGAGGAAGGTACTATAATCCCACACCATATCTTGGATTTCTTGGAAATTGACTCAACTCTCCATTCTAATAACATCTCTATTCTCCAAGAACTGTACGAAAGGTGAGCTCAGAGCCTCTAGAACTGTGGAATCTGGGGAACCCAAGTAGATGATGTTTGCTTCTTGGTTAAAGTTAGCTTTACCCTTATTTTGTAATGTAAACTGTTATTTAAAAGGAAAAAAGCAAGGCCAGGCATGGTGGCTCACACCTGCAATCCCAGCACTTTGGGAGGCCAAAGTGGACGGATCACCTGCGGTCGGGATTTCAAGACCAACCTGACCAATATGGAGAAACCACATCTCTACTAAAAATGCAAAAAATTAGCTGGGTGTGGTGGCAGGCACCTGTAATCCCAGCTACTCAGGTGGCTGAGGCAGGAAAATCGTTTGAACCTGGGAGGTGGAGGTTGTCATGAGCCGAGATCACGCTACTGCACTCCAGCCTGAGCAACAAGTGCAAAACTCTGTTGAAGAAGAAAAAAAAAGGCAGGGCACCATTGCTCATTCCTGTAATCCCAGCACTTTGGGAGGCCAAGGTGGGCAAATCACTTGAGGTCAAGAGTTCGAGACCAGCCTGGCCAACATGGCGGAATCTCAGCTCTACTAAAAGAAGAAAGAAAGTAAAAGAGAGAGAGAGAGAAGAGAAAGGAAGGGAGGGAGGGAGGGAGGGAGGAAGGGAGAGAGGGAAGAAAAGGGAAGAAAGGGAAGGGCGAGCCCAGGATTTGCCTGTATTAGAAAACATTCAGCCAGATCCTGTATTTCTCTTCTCTAGCATCTGAAGTTTAAGATATAGAAGGTACTTGATCTGAAGGTCAGGGACTGACCAAAACTTTCCACGAGAATGGAAAGAATAACGCATCTGATTAGCCCATGCCTTTCTGTTGTTTGTTTGTTTTGAGACAGGACTTCGCTCTGTCACCTAGGCTGGAATGCAGTGGTATGATCTCGGCTTACTGCAACCTCTCCTTCTTGGGTTCAACCTCTACTTCTTGGGTTCAACCTCTACTTCTTGGGTTCAAGTGATTCTCATGCCTCAGCCACCTGAGTAGCTGGGATTACAGGCATGCACCATCACACCAGGCTAATTTTTGTGTTTTAGAGACAGGGTTTTGCCATGTTGGCCAGGCTGGTCTCGAACTCCTGGCCTCAAGTGATCCACCTGCCTCGGCCTCCCAAAGTGCTGGGATTACAGGTGTGAGCCACCACTCCCATCCTAATTAGCCGATGCCTTTTTGAAAGATAAGGAGGCATTCCTACATCTGCACTTTAAACAGAAATACTGTTCAGGCAGGTCCTCTGCTTCAGCATCCTGCTTAACTTTTTAATTTATTTTTAAAATTTTGTGGTCACCACAGCAGAACAGACTTGACTCTTAATTAAGGACAAAACTGACCTTCTGAGATTTCTACTGGAATTCTAGAATTTCAGATCAGGCCAAACCACTTATTTGGCCACTGGCTTTATTTCTTTGTCTCATCTTTGTCAGTTGAGTGTGCACACATTTGTCCAAAAGCAGAAGAATGTAGGTTTGTGGATCTGAAAATGCCAGTCGTGAGTTGTGCCACTAAAGTTGGCGGACACGTCAAGATGCCCTGGGCTTTGTCTGCAGGTGCTGGAGCCACAGTAACGAGGAGTCCTTCAGCCCCTGTTCCTTGGCCTGGCTTTACCTGCACTTGCGGCTTCTCTGGGGCGCCGTCCTGCACTCAGCCCTGGTAGGTTTCATCTCCCTGCCAGCCCCGCCCTTATGGTCCCTGCTCATTGTCAGTCACTAATTCGTGCTTCTGATGTTTGCAGATCTATTTTCTGGGAACCTTTCTCCTGTCCGTATTGATCGCCTGGTCTGTGCAGTATTTCCAGTCTGTCTCAGGTAAAGATTTATAAAAAGCCAAAGCAGTATAAAAAAGCAGGGAATTTTTTTTTTCGTCTACCAGAAAAATTGCATTTTCCCTCCCAGTGCTATTGGTCATGCTATCTCCTATCCCTAGGTTGGTCTTCACGGGGTGGGAGTCCTTCTAGGGGTATATGAAACTCCTGGCTGGTGGGAGGCCACAAAGTTACTATCGTATTTTTCTCAAAATAAGGATTTTTTTTTCTTTCTTTCTTTTTGAGATGGAGTCTCATTCTGTCACCCAGGCTGGAGTGCAGTGGTGCAATCTCAGCTCACTGCAACCTCTGCCTCCCTGGTTTAAGCGATTGTCCTGCCTCAGCTAGGACTGAGTAGCTGGGACTACAGGTGCATGACACCACACCCGGCTAATTTTTTTTTTTTTTTAGTAGAGATGGGGTTTCACCGTGTTGGCCAGGCTGGTCTGAAATTCCTGACCTGAGGTGATCCGCCCACCTCAACCTCCCGAAGTGCCGGGATTACAGGCGTGAGCCACCCAGCCTCAAAATAAGAACTTTCTTTAAAAAGCTTAAGAAACTGAATGAATACAACTTCTCCCATTGAAAATATATCTATTAGAATTCTAGCTCTGTGTGTCTGAACACACAGCTCCAAAGACCCTGGCAGCATGAAGTCTTCCCGTTCATTTCAAACAATCAAATGTGTAAGAAGATAAACAAACCCTCGTAACGAATAAGAATCCTCAGCCACATGGACAGAGGGAGGGATGGGGCAGGAATTATAAAGTGGGCATTTAGTTTCGCATGGTTTCCACTGATCACTGTTATTTTTCTGAGCTAGTATAGAATAGTAGTTAAGGACCAGGGAGCCCTACTTGCTTCTATTTGGGCTTAGAGTCCAGGCTTGGTTACCTATTAGCTTACGACTTACGGCAAGTTACTTAACCTTCCTGATCCCCAAATTTCTCATCAGTACAATAAGCTTATGAGAGTAGCTACTTCCTAGGAACATGAAATGAAAAAAAATATTAAGTAAAAAAAATACACATAAGACACTTAAGAAAATGACAACTGTAGTTAAACGTTAGCTATTATATTTATCTGGCATATAAAACCTTCCCAGTGGATGTCAGCTCTTACGTTTATCTCCTCTATTAGACCATAAGCTGAATAAGAGGAAGGCTCCAGTCGTGTCATTTGTGATAACTCATGCATAGTAGGCACTCACACCCACAAATGCCTCTGGTCTCTTGAGTGACAAGAAAATTGATTTTTCACCATCTCGGACGGCTACAAAAGGATATAATAACTCATGAAGGCAAATAGAGACATTTACAAATGGATAGATTAGGACCGGACATGGCATTGGAGCATTTGCGTAGCTGTTATTTGTGTAGCAGATAATGAAAAGTGACGGGTGCACGTCACCTTCTCTTCCATGGTGAGAAGGAAGTCACTGTCGCGAGAAGCTAATGTGGAATCATTTCTCTCTGATTTACCTGAGGAGGTTAACAGGGAACCATCAAAACCTTCCAGGCTTGATGCCCTGTAGCCTGCCGGTTAATAAACTTCACTCATGCAAATTCTGTCCCATCCCTAAATTTGTGGCCAGGTATCATCATTTATTTTGCATCTTGTCAGTATTTTCCATTTCAAATTATCTTTGTCATTTTACTCAGTAGAAATATTGTGATGATTATTACAAATGCAATTCCGTTAGAGGAGCTGAGATTTGTCTTTATGATTTTATACCAGCTGGTAGCCATGAAAATTCATGGGCGGGTGGAATTGCTTTGATCAGAAGACATCTCTCATCTCTGTCTCCATGCCTTCATTATCAGTCTCTCCACATTCTTGTCTCCGTGTCTCTCCTGTCCTGTGATGTTTTGCTCTTCCTGTATCCCCACCATTCTTTCGTACATTTTCTTCGTGTTTCTCAAACTTTTTCCACTGCTTTCTCCAGCACATACCTACTTCCTTCTTAATCAGCCTAAAGAAGGCTTTGTCTGGATAGGATCATAAAAATTATTTAATTAGCCAGGCACAGTGGCTCATGCTTGTAATCCCAGCACTTTGGGAGGCCAAGGCAGGTGGATAACGAGGTTAGGAGATCAAGACCATCCTGGCCAATATGGTGAAACCCCGTCTCTACTAAAATACAAAAAACTGGCCGGGTGAGGTGGCGTGTGCCTGTAATCCCAGCTACTCAGGAGGCTGAGGCAGGAGAATCGCTTGAACTCAGGAGGCAGAGGTTGCAGTAAGCCAAGATCGTGCCACTGCACTCCAGTCTGGTGACAGGCGACAGTGAGACTCCGTCTCAAAAAAAAAAAAAAAAAAAAAAAAATTTAATTATATGACCTTTATTTTACAGATGAGAAAACCGAGGCAGAGAGGCAAAGTAGCTTGCCCAAAAAGACCAGGAAACCAGGCTCACTCCCATAATCCCAACACTCTTGACAGACCCAGGAGGGAGGATCATTTGAGCTCAGGAGTTTGATACCAGCCTGGGCAGCATAGCGAGACCCACGTCTCTAAAATAAAATAAAATAAAATAAAATTACCCCCGGTGTGGTTGCACATGCCTGGAGTCGCAGCTTTTGGGGAAGCTGAGGCAGGAGAATCTTTTGCACCCAGGAGTTCAAGTCTGCAGTGAGCTATGATCACACCATGGCACTCCAGCCTGGGCAACAGAATGAGACCCAGTCTCTAAAAAAGTAGAAGGAAAAAAAAAAGATTAAGAATAGATGTAGGGCAGCAGAATTTCAAACTTATTTTTCAGAATCATACCACTTTTTTTTTTTTTTGAGACAGAGTCTCACTCTGTCACCCAGACTGGAGTGCAGTGGTGTAATCTTGGTTCACTGCAACCTCCACCCCTCTGGGCTCAAGAGATTCTCTTACCTCAGTCTCCAGAATAGCTGGGATTACAGGCACGAACCACCACACCCAGCTAATTTTTGTATTTTTGTAGAGGCAGAGTTTCTCCATGTTGAGCTGGCTGGTCTCGAACTCCTGACCACAGGTGATCCGCCCACCTCAGCCTCCCAAAGTGCTGGGATTACAGGTGTGAGCCACCATGCCCGGCCCAGAATCACAATACTTTAAAGCAGTGATTGTCACCTGTCTCAAATCCATTGCCCCTCACATAGGAAATATTTTGTAGCATATTTTTTAGTACCTTGAAATGAAATTCATTATAATTAACCCATCTACGCACAATTTAAAAAGTCAATATAGGGCCCTAACAGCAATATAAAGCGGAAATAAAAAGAAAGTAATTATAATAAAATAACTTTGAGTTCAGTAAGTAAATTCTCGCCCAGTATTTCTTAATTTTAATGTTCATATGAATCATCCAGCATTCTTATTAAATGCAGAAACCGGTTCAGGAGGTCTGGCTCAGTGGATTTTGGTTCAGTAGCTAGGCCCTGAGACTTGGCATTTCTAGCAAATTCCTAGATATGCCCACACTGCTGTTTAGTAAGATCATGGTTTGAGTAGTAAGGGCCTAGAATTTAAAAAAAAAAAAAAAAAAAAAAAACTCCACACGTTTCTGAAATGTGCCCCCACAGTGGTACCTGCCAGCCCTGTTAGAACTGATGTTAACAGTTGAAATATGGGCCGGGCATGGTGGCTAACGCCTGTGATCCCAGCACTTTGAGAGTCTGAGGTGGGTGGATCACCTGAGGTCAAGAGTTCGAGATGAGCCTGGCTAACATGGCGAAAACCCCGTCTCTACTAAAAATACAAAAATCCTCTGGGCATCACGGCAAGTGCCTGTAATCCCAGCCACTTGGGAAGTCAAGGCATGAGAATCACTTGGACTCCGGAGATGGAGGTTGCAGTGAGCTGAGAATGCGCCACTGCACTCTGGCCTGGGCCACAGAGCAAGACCCTGTCTCAAAATTAAAAAAAAAAGAGAGAGGAGTTGAAATATGTAGCAAATTATTTTTGCATTTTTAAAAAGTCCTCATCAAAGTGCAAATTTGTCATTTATTTATTTATTTATTTATTTATCGATGTTGAGATGGAGTCTCATTCTGTCGCCCAGGCTGGAGTACAGTGGTATGATCTCGGCTCACTGAACCTCCACCTCCCGTATTCAAGTGATTCTCCTGCCTCAGCCTCCTGAGTAGCTGGAATTACAGGCACATGCCACCACCCCCAGCTATTTTTTGTGTTGTTAGTAGAGACAGGGTTGGCCAGGCTGGTCTCGAACTCCTGACCTCAAGTGATCTGCCCGCCTAGGACTCCCAAAGTGCTAGGAGCCACCATGCCTGGCCTGTCAGTACTTTTAAGTAAGAAGGTACTCCAGCAACACAATGGAGCTGATGGGATGATGGAGCAGGGTTATCAAGGCATGGAAGAGGTGAGGAGAGACTGCCACAAAGGGGATGCTGCTCAGAGACCAGGTTCCTGCCCCTTGGTGTCTCCCCAGTGAGCTGGTGCACGAGGTCCTGAGACCTGCCGCACAGCTGGGGGAACACAGGGATGGGTGCCTGTAGCAGCGTGGTGTTGTGAAACAAACTTAATAACGAACTCTGGGTGCTGACTGACAGTGTAAAAAACAGAAAATGGATTCGAGAGTTAGCCTCCCGTCAGCAGCTTTGGGTGAGGATTGTTGCTATAAGTTAGGGAGCTTTGTCATTTTGTGATTTGCACTTTTTTCTAAGCAGTTGTTTTTAAAAAGTAATGATTTATAGTCAAGACTTGCAGTTGAGCTGTCCATCCATTTTAGATGGACAACTACCTTGTCCATCCAAGGTAGCTCAGCTCCAACTACCTTCATGGTCCTCCTGAGTTTCTATGCTCTGTGATATATAGTGGACATGTCATGGCATTTGCCACACTAAATTGTCCCACATCAAGAGGGCCAGCCATGCAGGATGGTAGTTAACAGCATCGGTGTGGGAGTCGTGCTGCTAAGATGCTGCTCAGGCCACTAGCTATCTATGTGACCATGGGCAAAGGAAGGAGCCTATCTGTGCCTCACTTCCCTCTTCTGCAAATACGAATAGTAGTACATCCACTGCCTGTTGTAGGTGAGAGAACCAAATGAAGTAACACAACGTAAAGTGTCTAAAACTCCACAAATGGGCTGGGTGCAGGGGCTCACACCGGTAATCTTAGCACTTTGGGAGGCCAAGGCGGGTAGATCACCTGAAGTCAGGAGTTTGAGATCAACCTGACCAACATGGTGAAACCTCATGTCAACTAAAAATACAAAAATTAGCCGGGCATGGTGGCGCATGCCTGTAATTCCAGCTCCTTGGGGGGCTGAGGCAGGAGAATCACCTGAAGCTGGGAGGCACAGGCTGAAGTGAGCCAAGATCACGCCATTGCACTCCAGCTTGGGCAACGAGAGCAAAACCCCATCTCAAAAACAAAACAAAACAAAACCCCACAAATTTTAGCTGGTAGCTCTCAAGGAGTATGTCTTCTGGGGCACTTTACCTGCAATTAAAGCATGCTGACACTAGGTAGCACCTGCACATAAGTGGCATGATTTACCTCAATAACAGACATAATCACCAAAGCCTAGTATGTTTTTCTTTGCTGGTAGACTCTTTCTAAAACATTTAACTCTTTTTTTTTTTTTTGGAGATAGAATCTTGCTCTGTTGCCCAGGCTGGAGTTCAGTGATGCGATCTCAGCTCATTGCAACCTCCACCTCCCGAGCTCAAGCAATTCTTCTGCCTCAGCCTCCTGAGCAGCTGGGATTACAGGTGTGCACCACCATACCTGGCCAATTTTTGTATTTTTCGTTGAGATGAGGTTTCACCATGTTGGTGGAGCTGGTCTTAAACTCCTGATCTCAAGTGATCCGCCCAACTTAGCCTCCCAAAGTACTGGGATTACAGGCATGAGCCACCACACCCAGCCCATTCAACTATTTTTTAGAGCATTTCAACAAAGATATTGATTAATCTACCAAAAGTACCCAAGATAGTGCAATTGGTACTTTTGATAGATTAGTCAATGTCTTGATCTTCATCATATAGATTTATATATATATAAAGAATATATATCTATAAAGAATATATTTATATATAAAGAATATATATAAAAAGAATATATACTTATGTAGACAGTATATATATTCATATATAAAGAATATGTTCATATATAAAGAATATATACATATATATATAAAGAACATATATTTATATATAAAGAATATATATATGTATTCTTTCCTTCAAGGGAGCTTGCGTTTGACTCCTGGCTCACATCCCACCAGGCAGCTCAGTCTTTCTTGAGGCTTAGGCCTCCCATGGTAGTGGAAAGGTCCCTAGGTTTGGGTGGCCCTACAGTCACTCAGATAGTCACCAGTCTGATAGTAGAACACACATCATCCTGGGCCTGCAATGTCCCCCCAGGTCCACTGGCTTTGCAGCTTCTGAGTCTCCTGGGCGCTCCATCATCTTTGCCAAAGTCGAGCTTCTCTCAAGTCTTCATTTCTGATTGCTGATGGGGGCAAGTAAAGGCCCTGCTGTGGGTACAACCCAAGGACTCCTAAAAGCTCCTTTCCTCGCCTGTTGCATCTCTTTTTATTATTTTTATTTTTATTTATTTATTTATTTATTTTTTATAAAGATGGGGTTTCACCATGTTGGTCAGGTTGGTCTTGAACTCCTGACCTCAGGTGATCCGCCCACCTTGGCCTCCAAAGTGCTTGGATTACAGGCGTGAGCCACCAGTCCCAGCCCACCTGTTGCATCTCAAAAGCACTCTCCTTGTCTCCTCTCAGGGAGAATACACCAAGCATAATTGCCTTAATGGATCAGGCTTTTGAAAAACAAAAAATCCCAAGATAAAGTACGTCTGGAGCCATCTCCACTTCTGCCCTGCCACAAACCTCCTAAGACCAAAAAATCGTGGAGCCTGGCCAGCTGCCTGAAGGAAGCTAAAGGGAAGAACAGAAGGAGACAATAGAAGTCGTCATTTCAAAGAAAGAGTCCTGCCTGACTAATATATCATGTCAATTTACGTCTCAGTAGAATACACCCTATAGAGCAAGATTTGTAGAACTACTAGCTCCTCGGTACAACTAGGTAACCTTTTAAACCAACATCAGTACATTTATAATTTAAGACTACTCATCCCTTCCGGCTAAGTGGTTAGCCTAATGTGCTTTTAAAAAGAGTAAGGTGATATGTACAAGAGTAATTAAACCTTTTCCTACTGTTTCCTGTCATCTACATTTCCAGCTAATGAGGTTTCTACTAAAATTATAGTAAAATGTCACAAAGTAGTGCTCATGAAGGGAGCAGTAGCCTTATAGTCAGAGAGATTTCATGGGGAGGTTGTCCTCCCGTCCTATCTCATTAGCTTGACGTCTTACCAGGACCTCCGCTCCTGAAAGGTGTTTCAGTGACATGAATCTTACACCTACACCGGGCCCTGCTAGGCTCAGAGGCCCAGATGAAGTAGGCAAGATCTTACTCGCAGCACACAATTTCTAAGGCTTTCCCTTTATACCTCATTTTTGCAAACATTCTCTCATTTCAGGATGAATCCAATATAGTCCCATGTATTCTTCTTTCTTTTTGCTTCCATCTGGTCAGTAGGCAAGCAGGATGTTCTTCCTAACAACAGCAGAGATCAGCAAACCTTTTCTGTAAAGGACCAGATAATAAACATTTTGGGCTCTCGGGGCTGTCTTGGTCACAACTACTCTACTCTGCCATCTTAGCTGAAAAGCAGCCATTGTGGGTTTCTTTTTTTACTGTCTTTTCTTTTTTTTTTTTTTGAGACAGAGTCTCGCTCTGTCAACCAGGCTGGAATGTGGTGGCGTGATCTCAGCTCACCGAAACATCCGGCCTCCCAGGTTCAAGCGATTCTCATGTTTCAGCCTCCCGAGTAGCTGGGATTACAGGCACGCGCCATCATGCCCAACTAATTTTTGTATTTTTAGCAGAGACAGGGTTTCACCATGTTGGCCAGGATGGCCTCGAACTCCTGACCTCAGGTGATCCACCCGCCTGGGCCTCCCAAAGTGCTAGGGTTAGAGGCATGAGGCATGCCACTCGGCCTGTGGCTGGGTTTCTAATAAACCTTTACTATGGACGCAAAATTTGAATTTCATATATTTTTCATATGTCAAAAAATATTACTCTTCTATTCAATTGCGTGAACATGTAAAAACTGTTTTTAGACCATGAGCCATATAAAAACAAGTGGTGGCTACATTTGGCCCATGGGCCAAAGTTTGGGCCACTTCTTGATCGTTCTCACTAATGGACAGAAAATGGTCCCCCAGGCAGCAAATAATTCACAAATCACTTCTAATCTGTAATTTTTTAAACAGCATGCTTATTGTCCTGGTTACCTTGATTCTTTCTAGTCCAGTAATAAAATTAGTGCACATTCCAGGGGAGCAGAGACAAAGAGGCCACTTTAAAGCTAGGCCAGGCTGTGGGGGGCTTGTGCAGTGATTGCAAACCCCCAGTGGAAGAGGGGGGTCCTCCCACAGATAATGACTAACTTCCTGTAGAAACAGCAAGCTTTTTAATATGCTCTTACCAAAGATTTAAATGGTAGCAGTGCTAATTATGCATTCTTTCTACATTTACACATTGGCACTTTTTTTTTTAAATCAGAAAACTGATTGCTAATTTATCTTGTTACCATGGTGATTTAAACATTTCCCTGAGCTGGAAAGG